GTTTCAGTCCATAATCAGCTAGCTCCAAGGCAGAGTGGCACAGCAGACAGGCATCACAGAGGAGGAACAATTCATGGTACAAAGAAGGTAGCAAAAGTAACAAGGGATGACCACAGCCCTATCTTACCCAGGCTACTCAGAGCAGGTAGCACTGAAACGCTAGTGCCCTTGATCCTAGCATTGCGTCATGAATCAACTCTAGCATCACACATTCTAGATCCAGACACCTCTGAAAAAGCCCTCATGTGGTGAGGCTTTTGTTCAATACCTGATTGGACCAGGCTCACTCATGTTGTTATGGAAGATAATTTGCTTGATTCAACATCCAAATGTAAATACAAATCTCATTCCAAAAACATCCTCAGAGAAACGTTCGCAGAGCCACAGAAAAGATAACTAAATAAACAACAGAGCCACAGAAAAGATAACTAAATAAACAAAAGAAAAGAAAGAAAAAAAGAAAAAGTGTTAGACCATATGTGTAAGACCAAACTGTGGCCCAGACAAGTTAATATATAAAATTAGTATCTCAAAGCCTAACCAGGAATGATTATGCCAATTAAAACAAAGCACTTTTCCCTAAATGTATCTTCAGGCTCCTGTGCTGAGACTACTGACTCAAATCTGTAAGCCCACCTGGCTCAGAGTTCTAATGACCTCTGTTATCTGGCATCACAAATCTGAGCAGATAGAAAACAAGAGGAGGCAGAGGATAAGGTTCTGCTGGAGGCAGAAGCCAGAAAGAGTGAGGAACATCACTCATGGCCTGAATGCAAACAGGAGGCACAAAATCTATAAAAAGTAGATGGAGACACGATAAAGGCTCAGCCGCCCAGGGCCTTAGAATGTTGTGACAAATTGTTCTCCCTGCTTTGTGCAGTGTGACTCCACAGACAGCCCAGGACAGCAACTGATGTTCTTAATAATATGCTGGGGTCTCTAAATACCAGCACATTCGCAGTCAGCTCTGATGTGGTTAGGGCAGGAGGAAAGGGGCAGTTTTTAAACATGTCTGAAGGGACACAGCACTAACAGCTGATATCTCAGCCCAAGCTCATGCTGGCAAAGGGTAGGATCTAGGCTACCTACTGGCTCCTTTTTAGATCTCATTTTAAAAGAACTACACTCCAGAGCCGGGCGTGGTGGCTCAAGCCTGTAATCCCAGCACTCCGGAGGTTGAGGCAGGAGGACTGTTGCGAGTTCAAGACCAGCCTTGGCTACAAAGTGAGCTCAAGGCCAGCCTGAACTGCATAGCGAGACCCTGTCTCAAAAAAAGAAAAAAAACTACACTCCATTTTTCTCAGCTCATGGCTTAGATAAAATCAGAGGCCCTGCTCCACAGGCAGCCCTTATGGCTTGTGCCAATCTAAATATGCCATTTTCCCCTCTCACCTTGGTTTCAGAGAGGACTACGTATCTAAACTAGCATTTCTGTAATGCAAAAGTGGTTTCCTGGGGGCTTCTGGGAAAAAGAAAAAAACCGTGTCTCTCTCCCTCTAACCCTCAGTGGTGTCTCACAAGGATGCATCTGGAACTGCTACAGTCATTCTGCTCCTATGAATGGGAGTTTCCAAGTGACAGGAAGGAGTCCTCTCTGTGGAGAGTGAAGAAGCCAAAAGAAAATTCAGAGAGGATAAATAGGGAGATTTTGGATTCTTATCAGATCATAGGGACAGCTGGATTAAACTACTCCTGAAATGTAGGGTTTTAATTTATATATGACAATGGATTCCTTTTTATGATTAAGCCAATTTGAACTTGTATTTTTATTATCTGTGATGAAATCAACCTTAAGTAATATAAATATATATTATATACATAATATAATCTTGAAAAAGGAGAATTTTGACTAGAAAAATTACAAATTAAAGAATATTCTAACAACAACATTTCTAATGATATTAACTAGGACAAAAATTTAATATAAAATTTTAATATAAAATGTCCCAGAAACATTGTCTAGTGCTTTATTTAATCCGCAGGAGAACAGTGTGAGGTTGGTGCTATGATCACTTCAGGAGGAAGCTGAAGTTCAGAGAGATTATGTAACTTTCACAAGGTGGCACAACAAGGAAATGCACTAAACAAATATCTCTAGGATGCCCAGGAAGAGCTTCTTAATACTACCTACCTGTGAGTTTCCTCCAAACCACCAGGGAGACGAAGATTGTAGGACCAGAAGGATCATTATCAGAGCACAGTGGAACACAGCCTTGTATCGTGATGAGGGTAGGATGAGGCAGGTGTGAGGCAGTTTGTTGGTGTTCAGAGGTGACCAGATTTAACACAGCTCTCACCAGCATCCAAAACTACAGAGGAGTTCTGTCAACAGAGCTATGCCCAACTGCTGCCCAGGCTCAAAATAAGGGCTTTTCCCAAGATATTGTAATCTACTTATTTATTCATATGAAAGTCATCTGAATGTCTGTGCCTCCAGCATCCTGCTCAGTGAGCAAGACAGTCAAGGTAACTGCCCCACAGACCTAACAGTTATGTTGGGAATGACAACATTAAACAAAATAATTCTACCTGTCAACATATAATTATGAGCTATACAAAGTGTAATGAACTTGCAACTGTACAAAGTACAGTACAAAATATAATCAGAGAACAATAATAAAGAATGAGAGAGATTTGCTTCAGATTGGGAGACATTGTACAAGTGTGTAGGGTAAAGCTTCTCCATGAAAGTGTCTTGAAGGGAGAACCTTGGTATTTGGAGGGCATTAGCTTGACAGGGACAGATGCACTGTTAGCAAAAGAAACTGCTTATACAAAGAAGCTACTAGATTTAATGAATTGTTTAATGAGTTGAGAGGTCATTGTGACTGCAGTAAGTGGGGTGAGAGGTAGGTAGGGGCTGGGTCACACAAGTATTTTTGCTCACTATTTGGACTTTGGATTCTCAGTCAGTCATTCATTTCCACATTGCACATTTTTGTAAATCTTCCTCCAAAAAAGGCCCTATGTGACGAACAGGGACATATATGATTAATAATAATGGCTAATGTTCATTGAGTAAATTACTATTTGTCATCAACTCATCTAAGTCTTTCATCAACTCTAGATACTACCATTGTTCTCATTTGATGGGCAGGGAAACTGAGGTACACAGAATATCATTTTCAAGATTATACAGCTATTAAGTGGTAGGATAAGGATAAACTACAGCAGTCTGACCAGAGCCCATTCACATTTGTGTTGTTAACTAGTGTGATTCATGCTCATCTCTAGTTCATCCTGGTTGTGTCAGCCACCCAAACAATACTTTAGATGTAGGTGACTAGCTGAGAAGAGAATTTCCCAAACTTGGCAGATAATAAGAACTCCCCTAGGATGCTTGCTAAACACAGACCCTTTTCTTAGAGATCTGAATTCAATGGGTCCACTCTGGAATTTAAATTTTTCACAATTTTGATGAACACTGACTTGTAATTCAGTGCAATGGTTTCTGGGCTGGATAGATCTCAGTTTAGTTTGTTTGTAGTTTTACTGCTTTTTCAGATGCCTGTCTAAAGCCTCAGTTTCCATATTTGACAAATATGGCCAAAGACAGCATCAAGTCCGAGAAATCTTGTATCAATTAAGTGAGCTGCATACAGGGTGCTTTTCAAAGGCTTGCTGTATAGCATGACAAAACAGAAATAGAATTGATATAGGGCATATGACATAGGGATGATATAGAATCTCCAAATAACCCAAATAATGTAAGGGAATTATAACTCCCGACTTGTTAGGTGTCTGATAGAAAGTTCATGTTCTCTAAAATTGAAGAATGAACAACGGAAGTTATGACTAGGTAGTATTTATTGACAGAAAGAAAGCATCTGTCTAAAAGGGATGGGAACAGGTCTTGAGTAGGTGGCCATAGGGAACCCACTTTTCAGTTTCTCAACGGAGTTTTATAGAGTAAAACCATGAGGTGAGATGGGTGTAAGGTTGTACAAAATTATACTTACTTAGGTAATATATATATATTAAGTGGAGATCAAACAGGAACGCAAGTCAGGTAGCAAATGCAGGTGGAGTTGAACAAGGGCATTCCAGGAAGGGGTGGGTTAAGGAGGATTTGGTCCTCCACCTCCAAGGTGATTGATGTATTTCAGAATATCAGTCACTGCTGTCCCTCCTAGGGGAAGTATATGGGTGTAGACATTTCTCTATCCTGAGGGCTGACCTCCAACCAGTGCACTTTTATCTATAATAGAATGTCTGACAGTGACGGGGAAACTCCAGACACTTAAAATGAAGTGTCATAGATCACTGTGGTGGACTTGGAAGACAGGTTGGAGAAAAGAAATGAATCCTATTAGCCAGACAAAGATCGGGACACCCATTTCAACTGGAGTTTCAGATAAAACAGTGAAAATAAGTATAAATATCTCCCCAATATTGCATGGGATATACTTAACAGTAACTTTTTTAAAAATCTGTGATGCCAGGTTAACTTGGGGTGCTGTACTTTCACTGGTTAAATCTGGAAACCCTATCTTCGAAGGAAAGCCTAGCCCCAAAGCCTGAGTCCACGGGTAGCCAGTGTCCACGTGGCCTCCGACACCTGGGATTTGCCAGGCCCCTGGGTCGATTCCAGAGGGGCCGCTGGCGCCTTGGTCTCGCCCAGACAGCACTAGTGGAACCCTGAGCGGCCGAGCCCCGCCCCACCCTTGTCGTCCCGCCCCGAGCAGAGGGCACCAACGGGCAGAAAAGGGCTCGTAGGCGGTGTGAAGTCGCCCTGTGTGTGCTCGCACGAAGTGTTCTCCTAGAAACTCGCTATGTCAGCTGTGAAGGTGGGGAATGTTTTCCACAGAGCCCGGGACAGGACCCTGGACGCGTTTGTCGCAGGTACTGCTGGTCTGCCGCTGGCGGAAAAAAATGCTGGAGTTGCGGAACGTTCTGTAAGGGGAACCTGCGGTCCCGGTGCGTGCGTCTACAGCCGGACCCCTTCGCGGGCTGCACCCGCGCGCGACTGGGGACCGCAATAGAAGCTGGGCTGGCTGCGCTCAGCGGAGAACGCGCGTTCAGGTCTGCATTGATTAGACCTGACTTCTCTGAAAGAAGGAAAGACAGAGGAAAGCACCGGAGCAGAGCTCTGTACCTCTGAAGCTGGGTCCCAAGCCCTGCCTTGGCAGTGTGCCTCAGTTTCCTCAGCTGTAGAACGAGAATCATAGCGAGGTTATGAGTGGCATTGGATGAGCGTTGGGTGCAGGTTAGAAACTGTTACTGTTAGTCGGTACTTTCACCAGAATGCATTTTATACGGCACAGTTAGTTATTTACTGTAAAATGAGTGATTCACTGAAACATTAACAGTGGCCATCAAATAAGGGAAAGCATTCTAGAATTGTCAAGTGCTTGGTCGAGTTAAGTGCTTGGACGTTGGGTTTAGATAATCATCTACCACGCTGTAAAAATGAGTTTGATAGTACCTGCCTTCTAGGATGAATGAGAACGTTAGCAGATTGGCAGTATTTCTGCAATCCAATGTGGCACGTGTCCTGAGTATTAAATGAGAAGAGTATTAGTCCTGGAGTTGTAAGTCGGGACAGAACGTGCTCTACCCCCACCCAATCCCCACCTCTTGAATTTTCTTTCTGTTTTCTGCCTGGAATCAAATTCCTTCCCAGAAGTTACCAATTCAGGCAAGTCTCCCCAAGACTTGATTTTGCTTATCCCCCCAAGCTCATGCTTGCCACTCAAACCTTGTCCTGTTCACCTGTCTCACTAGTTTTCTTGTATGCTTAAAAGAGACAAGCCTTTTTTCGTCAGTCTTGGTACCTGCTCTTTGCTCCCGCAGCTATTGGTAGGTCTGGTGAGCCCAGTTCTTTGACATTCACACTGCATTTTGAAATTCATTCATTTTTGCAGGGAATCTTTGCCTGGCTACCGAATTTGAAGTATGTTTCTCCTGTAAGTCTCTGCTAGACTTTTACTCTTTTTATCCTTTGCAACTCTTCGAGGGAGAGTGGCAAGGTTCTGGAATAGTGTGGGTGGCCAGAAATCTGTGGCAAATACTATCTTGCCATGTTCTATGTGTATTACTGCAACTTGACTTTTTAATTTAACATGATGTTTTTGAGATTTATCTGTAGTAATATAAGTAGTTTCATTTCATTTTCCTGCTGGGCAGTATTGCACCCTATAAATACATACGTTGTGCGTTCTCCCATCCAAGTACTAACCAGGCCCAGCCCTACTTAGCTTCCGAGATCAGATGAGATCGGGCGCATTCAGGGTGATATGGCTGTAGACATACGTTATGTTGTACATTCTGTTGATGGATAGGCTAAGTATCTTCAAATGTGCTTTTCTAAATCTCTCTCCCTTTCCTATGGTGTTCCAAGGAGGTTGACCTCTATGGGCTATCTCAGTGGACTCGATGCTCTCCAGTTTCCCCTTCTGTTCAGCCAGTGGGAAGGCCTGACTGGAGATCAATAAGAGAACAAAGCAAAATCCTATGTATTGTCACACTTTACTCTCTGAGGTTTGCTTTGAGCTGGCTGTATTTCTCCTCTCACTGGAAAGGTGCAGCTTCTCTCAAGACAGTGTTTTGTCCCTCAGATTTTGTTTTTAAATTTGGATAACCATTCTCTCTCTCTCTCTCTCTCTCTCTCTCTCTCTCTCTCTCTCTTTCTCCTCTGTGCAGTATGTGACAGCAGCTCTGCTTCTCTGTCTTTGGGATGCCAAAAAACTGTTCCTTGTGGTTACCCCACAGTCTATCCCATATAGCTCTCTTAAATAAACTCTATTTTAATCTGAAAATGTAAGCCATTTCCTACTTGGCTCCTGACTGATATAGTGCCCATTTAGTTGTTTTTCACTCTTGTTTTATTTTTTTAACCTTTTCTTTCTTTGTTTTTTCTTTTCACTCTTGTTAACAGTGCTGTTAGGAATACTGTTGTACAATCTTTCTGTGGACACATTGGAGAATTTCTCTAGGGCATATACCCAGAAGCAGAGTTCTAAGTTGTAGGGTATAATCATCCCCAGCTTTACTAGATAATTGTCCAATTGACCTCCAAAGTGATATACCATTTACACTCTACCAGTAGTGCAAGAGAGTTTTTGCTTACTTTGTTGTGTCTCTTTTCATTTGGAAAAATACTGTGTTCATATTGCACTCACTAGTATCTTGTGGAGAAAGGAATATGGTATGGGGTATGGCAAGTTACAAGGCCTCAGGGGCTCAAAATCTATGCATAGAGTTGTAGCTCAAGAAAATAGTTTTTGGTAACTGATGGGAACTGAGGACCGATGCAGTGGGACGGTTTGGCATTGGTTCTCCTGGCTGCTAACAGGTCAGGGAGTTCAGAACAGGGTCACATTTAATGGGATGTGTTTGAAGTGCCATCAGGAATTCTGATGCAACTCATGGGAAGTGGCATACAACTAGGGATCTAGCTATGGATGCCCTCACAGAGAGGGGAGTAGGTGGCATTGCTTTAGGAGTCAAAGAAATTACTAAAGGCATAATGGACCCTGTGGCCTTAGTATGTCAGTGTTCAGGGGCAACAGGCACACAGTGAAGGGCTCAGAGTAGAAATAGCCTGAAATTCTGAAAGATAAAACCAGGGACCAGGTTTGGCACCAAAGCTGAGCAGGAAGACTTAGGATGGAACCCAGGATCATGGGTCACAGAAGTCTAGGTGAGTGCTCAACTGGTGACTGTGGCAGGTGTTCCTTAGAGGTGTGTAAGGCCAGTCTAGGCTCTGTGGGAAGCTCAAGCTAGTAAGTTGCCCCTAGGCAGACTTCGAAGGGAAAGTAAAGGAATTAGTTTTGCCCTATTTCTCACCAAAATTCATGCTGCCTGTCAAAGAAGATCAGTTGACTCAAGCAATTGTCCTGAAATCACAGCTCTACTGACCCTGATCTACACTGTCAAAAACAACCTCCAGAATTAGCCACTTTGTTTCTCAAGTGCAGCCTGTCCACTGAATGAAGGAGTACTGAACTCTTAAGACCTTTTTTCCCCAGTGGCCATTCACCCAAGTGACAATATTCCATTAGCTTCCAGTAGTGTGACATCATGTGAGGCTCAGTGTCAGTCTCTTGATCTGTCTTAACAGAATTTGCTAGGCTCTGCCAATAGATGTTTGTAAAATATACACTGTACACATCTCACCTGAGCTCGCATTGCTAAGGCATGTTAAGATACTTGTTTTAATTAGGCAGATTGATAATTACATTTCCTTGACATGTATCCTAATTGGGACTACTTTCTCCTAGCAAGTAAATATTTTTTGAGAGGTTTATCACATCTGTTCTAAACAAATGCTGAAAGAGAAATGTAAAAGATAAAAAATGTTTTAAAAATATATTTGTTTGTAGGTTTTGAATCTGTTTTTCCAATTCATTTTACTGTTGCAATATTTTTCTTTTCTGTGAACAACTCTTGGATGATTTTTCTTAAAGTGATTATTTTTCTGGACATTTTCAACCCCTGCATGTGATTCAGACTAGCCAATTTCATTTGCTAATTCTGAGTATTTTGTGCTTTCCTTTGGAAACTCTCATGTTGAAAGAATAGATTCTCAATAAGCTATAACTTGCCCCATCTCTTGCAAACTTTACCTTAGAACTTTTTTTCTTTTTACAGAAACTAAATCTATAAATATTATCTAGTCAAACATGATAGAAAACATTGTGGCTTAAACAGTTACAACAGGACAATGAATTGAATCTTCATTTGTGCCTTAAATTTAAGCCTTATTAATCATCTCTAACTCAAAGAGGATTTTGTTAAATAAAGTTTGTAGGTGGTCATGAATTTGCAATGGACACCTATGCTGGGTACAGCAGACAGACTTTAGTTGCAGTGATACAGAGAAATGAAACTCCCAGCCTACTAGATGGCCAGTACAAGTTTGTGTTCTCTAAAATTGAATAAACTTCAGGAACAATGGAAGTTAAAAGCAGAATATATATATTGAGAGAAAGAAAGCTGTCTGGGAAAGAGACAGAAGGGGTCCCAAGTGGGTTACCAAAGACTACCTTTTCTAGGGACTTTTATAGAACAAAACCACGAGGTGAGGTAGATCCAAGATAGGGAAAACATGGTAACTTCCAAGGCAGACTGGCATGAGGTGGGACAGAACTATGGTCAACCAGGAAGATTAATTATTCAGGTAAAATTGACCAAATCTAAGACAAATGGGGAAGTGAGTCACCTAGCAAGTTGTTTTCTTAAAGAGCAGTGACTCTTCTGTTGGGAGTTGGGATGGTGACTCCTGGATTCCTCAAGGTGATCCCCACCTATTTAGAAAATCATTCCCTGATGTTTATACTTAGGGTGTGGTTGCATTTGTTTTGTTTTTGTCTTGAGATCTGGCCTGTAGCAGAGATGTCTGTCTCCTCCAAGGTTGCAAGGTATCTGGTCTTCTGCACTGGCTCCATCCAAGGACCTAGCCCTGTCTGACTGCCTATAAAATTTCTAACTCACTACCTGTAACAAAGTTGATTGTAAGAGTCCCTGCAGCCAATAAACTGAGTGTAAACAGTTTCCTATTTAATGGTGATCAATTGACTGACTGACTAAGCTATAGACATAAATTGTATTCTGTACCTCACTTTTTTTTTTTTTTTATGAATTTTTTGGTCTATTGTTAGTTGGAGTTTCAGAACTGGTCTTGGGAGCTGCCCGCTCGCAAATTATTTTTTTATTTTGTTTAAATAACTCTACTAAATTTAATTGGTCAAGGAAATATCCTTTAATAATCTCCTTGACTAAATAGGAATGTTGGTTATTTATCACTTCCTCAGTTAAGAGGTAGAGTGACCAATGTACATTAATGTGTGTGTGTGGGGTAATCAGCTTTTCATTACTGTGATAAAATACTGGAGATAAACAGTTTATAGGAGGGAAGATTATTTTGGCATGTCTTTTAGAGACTTCAGTCCATAGTTGGCTAGCTACATTACTTTTAGGCCTCTGTCAAAGCAGAAACTTCTTGGCAGAAGCTATTTATCTCCATGATATCCAGGAAGCAGAGAAAAAGGAAGCCTCAGAGAAAGCAATAAGACCAAGTACACTCGTAGCCCGTGATCCACACCCTTCAATTGGGCCAACCTCCCCTTTCCATCACCTTCCAGAAATGCCATGAGATTGTGACCTCATCATTGGATCAATCCACTTGATGAAACTGGAACCCTCAAGATCCAGTCACTTCCCCAAAGTCTATTAGCTGGCAACCAAGTCTTTACTACATGAGTT